TGTGCTGGATTTGATCTTCTGCAAACTTGGACTTGGAAATCGACCGGTCGTCCATATTTAGGGCGATAAGTTATCATGAGGTGGCGACGTGTCAAGTCGAATAATTTTCACAGGAAGAATAAAAGCCAGAACTTAGGCGCCTGGTTAGATCGGGTAGGTACACAGTTCACGTGTCCATGCGGGGTTTTGAGACCTTGTGGAAGGAAGTGACGAAGGAGGGTGTTGCCCTCATCATGCACAAAGTGGGACTCGAGTTGGTCACGACCAGGCACAATGTGACACGACTTCTCAGATCACTGACTTCGTAACATCAAGATATAAGCCGGCAAAGACATCAATTCGAAAACCAAAGAAAAGACAAAACTCGCTAGCTAACTAGACACATCGCTTCGCTTAGGCAATCATCAGAACAAAAGACCGTACATGTTTACACCCCTCCTCCCGCCAGGCCTGAGAGCGAGAAAGAGGAAAATGAAACAGGAATATTCCAGATAGCCCAACAGCAACCAATATCCGCAGCTACACAACTCTTCAGGTATTCCAAGTATTCCAGGCTTGGAAGGCGGCTATTCCTCCAGAACTAAATATTGCTGCCTCCAAGAGACCAGAGCTTGAGGCGAGACTCTTCAAAATCTGACTGCAGCAGACTTAGATGATGCCGCAGGTGAGGATGTTGATGTTGAAGGAGCCCTGGTTACTGGTTAGTCTGTGTTGATCTTACAAAAGGAGAAGAATGTCGGAGAGGAAGCTTACAGGAGCAGAGGGGACATTGCAGCACTTGACAACGCCGGAGCAGGTGCCACCGACAACACCGATGACGCAGCTGAGAATGTTGAGAATGCCGGTGGTGTTGCAGCAAAGGGGCTTCTCGTTTTGCTGGGAGCACTCATTGATGGGAGTGCCGCCGCCGCCGCCAGTGCGGACAACGAGAGCGTTGGTGTTGGCGATGTCAGCTGCGGGGAGGGCAGCGGCAGTCATGGCGACGGTGAGGATGGTGATGAGGTTGGAGAACTGCATTTTGGCGGTTGTGGAGTTGTTGCTTTCGAAAAGCTGGAGATGGCTTTTTGTTGTCTGAAGGCTGGCTTAGAAGTGTTGGAGATGTTGATGCTGATGGTGAGAGAAGGTTTGAGGTCTGATCGAGGGAGGAAGAGGGAGGTTATATAGACATTTAGAGATCGTTGGTTGTGTCCAATTCAGCCTTTGAAGTCATGTCCGTTCTCAGAGGACTTGACCAGACAGCCAGGCCCTCACTCCTTGGCTTGATGCTCAGGTCTTCATCCGTGTCATTCCTTGATTGTGATGATGGGCTTGACCCAGATCGACATTGCGGTTTCCCTTTTGAATTTATGAGATATTTTGCTATTGGTGGTGAGGTCTTGTGGAACCGGAGAGCCGAAAAGTTGCAGTTGTTTCCCTAGACAGACAGGGAGGCACGGGAGGTTTGGATGTCGAGGCGTTCAGGTTAGCAAAAGGCATCCAGCTGTCAACATTCTGCAGATGTCTACAAGGTACCATGCGTATTGCAACCCTCCCTCAGCTCTAGTGTTACAGGAACATTTCTGGATGCACGATGACGATCATTGACAAATCCAGCTAGCCTACCACTACGGAAAAAGCCGAGGCCAAAGACCATGATACGTCAACGTCTTCAAGCTTCAGCCTACGAGTTTTTTGAGTACTCAAGGAAGACATGGGCGTGATGCTGCATCTATCCATCAGATGATTCCGGTATTCACAGTAGCCAACCGTTACTGTGATGATGTGGCATGTATGAAAACTCGGTCCGAACGCCAACGCTGCAAGGGAAATGAAAAGGACATGCTTGACCGAACATCGGACGTAGCAGGTCACAGAGGACTGATTGATTCGGTTGGTCCCACTATGCAAGGCCAAACTAGTAGGTATTCTTTTCCATTTGCTTCTGACCATCAGCCCCAGGCCATGATGATTCATGAATATTGTCCCGCTCGATGCCTGACAACGGTGGGGGGAGGCGTTACTTACACATGTGTTGTTTGGGCAGGACCCATGCAGCTCGAGGGTCAGAATCACTATTGGCCTGATAGTATTGAAGGCTCAAGGGGAGGGGGTGTTGTGGCAAAACAGGGTGGGAATGCGGCCAAGTAGGTTAACGATCATGTATGTACTAGCGTGGTGTTGTGTAGCATTAAGCAACATGATCTGACCTTGGCGGTTGAGCTTATGGGCGGAGAAGGTGGTGTCCTAAACACGGCAGGCGACGGCAAGTCCCCGAGGGGTGCAGGAGCATTGGAGCAGCCGTCAACGAACCAACCAACCACAGTCGCAGCAACGAAAAGCTTCCCATGGTCAGCTCATCTTGGATTTGACCAGGTGCCAATAATATCACACCCCAGCACACCGGAAAATGCGGGGAGCGAGGTAATGCTGCATCGGGCGAACCACTTTTCAGACCCGTTGACATCGAACTTGATCTGAATACTCAACCTAACTGTAAGACAAATCTTCATGCCACCTTTCTGAGACAGTATGCACCGTTTTCTGCCCTTCATAATGCATTACATGCATTCAGTGACTGGTCCCCTAAATCAAGGTTGAGCGACCAAGCCAGAGAGGGAAGTCGGTCACTTGCTCAGAAAACAAACAGTCCCTTTCCAGCAGCTCTTTACAAAATCAAAATGCCGATGTTTATGAAGATTCAGCTACCACTGTCCGGAGTGTTTCGTCCAGGCGAGAGCAGTGGTGATGTCATCAGGTTAACTTACCGGCCCCGGGCAGCTCACTGGGAATGGCTCCCCACCGCCGACAAAACGACACGGGAAGAGACGTGCACAACAGAAGTCCCTGCCTAGGCCAAATGGTTGGGTCGAAGCAACGAAACATGAAATGCAAAATCAAGGCTTCTCTTCCGATGGTGTGCCACAGCATGCAGAGTTGCCCCCCGAAGTGGTTGAGAGAGCTTGCGAGAGCCAAAGACCTGTACGCCTCGGATTTGTTTTCACCAAGTGACAAACCAACTTCGGGTACAATCCAATATTTCTTTCATACTGGTGGGCCGCAGACATCGTATGTCTGCACGAAGTCTGTGTGCCTCCTTCAATGACGCTGCCAATACAGAGGCAAGGGAACAAAAACTGACAACTCAAAGGGGTCTGGTACCACTGCAGGCTATGCAGGACAAGTCAAAGCACCCAATCTCAATGTTCACCGCCATTGGGTTGCAGTTCAAGTCTCTGAAGAGTCTGCCAACTAGACAATAATACTGACAAACTTGGTTCAGAGCTGAACAGCCCAAGGATGGCAACATCGATCAATCCCGGCTCGAATCCTATTGACTGGCTTAGACCAAGCCCGACAATATGCATTGCCTGACCCATTGCAACATCGGTAACCAAAAAGTTGTCATCATACGTTGGTCAGGCTCAAGCCATCAGCGCAACCTGCGTCCGCCCAGCGAAGTCGGCTCTCTGTCATGCAACATTGCTATTCAATACCTATCCGCGTGTTGCGCCTCTCAATAGCAGGATGTTGGCAGTTACTGCAGCCACTTTTTCTTCACCTCTTTGGTTCCATGTCATGATCCTTTTAGCAACCGCCTTCTTTTCTTCCCCGACCTTGTCGATCTTTTCTCTTTCAAGCATGATCGACATTCATACATGTTCTCTTCCCCTTCGTTTAGTTCATCGACCTGATCCAGCCTTGAGCTTATCTGAATCGCCTTCAACTTGCAGAAAGGCCAAGGCGGGATGTGGGCGGGAAAGATCCGGTCTGGCTCGGAGACGCGGAGAAGCAGGCTTCAATGCTGCCGCCTTGCAAGTTTGGGATGATGTTGGGTGTCGGATTGTGGGCACGCTGGCATGCCTGAGTCTCAATCTTCAATTGGGCCATCAGACCACTCATTCACCCACCCTTTATCGAACTTACTGACATGCCGGCACTACAGGTCATGAATTCTTCACACATCCGACAGCGCTCCATGATGTCAACCATTGTCGAAGTTACCGTTCCCTTCCCGGGCTCAGTCGTCTTTTACTCAATGTCGATTATGGTACGCAATTAGCACTCTCTCCTAGGTACCATGCTCTTTCAAGCTCCAACAACCTGTCGCGAGGATCCGAGACCCATGGGGCCAAGCAAAGCAAGAAGCTTGCCTGGTTGTGGGAACGTCCTAATGGTTGAAGATAATCGGGACTACGAGGACAGAGATCGACGGACGGCAGCTAGATCCTATTTCGGATCTAGATGTGACAACCAATCAAGATACCAAGCATGTCCCAACAAGGAAGTCTCTGCGGACACCAACACCTGGACTTGGGAGCGTCATAGGACGCATGGCCGATCATCAACACTCTTGGAGTAGCGGCTGCCACACTGGCTTGGATAACCCATCAACGAAGTGAACTCAGGCGGCCCTGCACCAGACTGAGGTCCTGCTAGTAGCAACCAAGGGACATCAGCAAGTCTGGCCTTCCGATACTGTAGGTTCAAGCCATCATCCGAAACGTATCTCGACTAGTTCCCTTGCTGGGTGTTGGGGGTAAATCGATGCCCCGGCCTTCGGCCTCTGGGTGGTTTGTAGGCTCTCTTATGTCCGAGACTGCCATACACTATCAAGACTGACTGGAAGCAATCCACCTCAAGCTTTCTTGACCCCTGGACGCTGATGAGGGCGAACACCAAATAATTCTCAGACAAGCCTCAACCATTGGATGCTGGTGAAACTTTTGGACAAACTGCTAACAGCGACAGGTTCCCAAGTTCAACAGTCGTCAGTCACTATTGAGCTTCTCAGAGTCGGCTCTTGCCAACCTCGAACCCCAACCAGATCGTCGTATCGCCAACTCGTCAGAGCACATTCACCAAAACTCTCAACTCCGAATAGGTATTTTGTGGATAATGACACGATTCAGGTCTGTGGAGCAAAGATGCGTTCCCACTTGACACAAGGTAGGTCTACCCTGCCAACTACGGTACTTGAAAACCCTCACCAGGCATACCCACAACACCACAAACTTGTTCAAGGTTCTATAGTGTAGCGGTTAGCACTTCGGATTCTGATGATCAGAGCATTCCGGCAACCCCGGTTCGAGTCCGGGTAGGACCTCAACATCACCATTCTTTTTTCCACCGTTTGTTTGTCACCTACTCAAACTGACATCAGCTGTTGGTCCTTTTGGGTTGTCTCATGTAGCGAGCTGACAACCTAGAATCCCATTGTTCAGATCTCCTACCGTAACTCGAGTAGACCTAGCCACATCAAAGCCACTGTAGCACGCCATCGTGGCCTCAATGCAACGACAAGCGGCGGAGAGAAAAGTGCGAGTCTCTCAGCCCTAAAAGCCGTTAACTCCACCTATTTTCCTCACAACCACAACCTTGAAAATCCTTGTTTCCCGCTCTTTGCACAAGGACCGCCCAGAGAAAAAGACTTTTCACTCAAGCGGCAAAAGGAAAGCTTCCACACAACAACTCTCAACGGATACAGCTCAGGCAATCCTCACCCGGCTAGCTCAATCGGTAGAGCGTGAGACTCTTAAGGAGTTCCTCCGTCAAATCTCAAGGTTGTGGGTTCGACCCCCACGTCGGGCTCAATTCCCGGCATCGAATGTGCCATCTTTTTGTCTAGTGGGTTTTTCTTTTTCTTTTGGGACATATTTTGTTCAGACTTCTACGTGTGGTGCCACGCCAGAATCCATCGAATTTTTGACCCTGACCTATGCCATCGTTTTCATCTGATTGATGTTTTACTCCCTTGTTTATCATGCATGATCATGTGCGCCAATCTCTGATATCAAGGTCCAGGGGCTCTTTGGTGGTTGCACTGCACGAGATATGTCTCGGGTGTTGGCAATTTTTATCTTGGCTGATCCACCGGGGACAGCATTGTGAATACCAGCCGGTGAGCTTGGACGTTTTCTCTTGTGCTACGGAGGCTTTGAGGATGAAACATTGATGTTTAATATTTCGGGAGGGGCTTGGACCGTAGATTGCGAAGTTCTTCAGGGAGAAAGACACATGTGATTGCCAGCTTGATTGTGTTAATTAAAAACAATTTGATCAAGACATCGGCCAGTCCAATAGGTATTGATGCTCAACTCAAGAATTAACCAGACCTGGTTTGAGCATTGGTTGTGGTAGACCAAGCGAGACACTTAACACAACTCTGGCTCTAGAAAATATGAAAATATGAATGATTTGTGCAAAGTACGCTTCGAAAGTGAGAAATGACTGGGGAAAATCCACCTCCTGACTGTGAAAAAAAAAAAAAAAAACTTTGCTGCATGAACAAGGTTCACATTATCCGTTTTGTGTTCACCCACGGCTGTGGTTCAAATGGAAGCTCCAGCCCATCTGCAAGGGACAAGCAAAAGTCAAAGACAACTCAACAAATTTGCTGGCAGCTCTCACCAAAAGCCTCAAAACCACCATTCATCACAACCAGCAACCCAAGCCCGCATGGCTCAGTGGTAGAGCGCATCACTAGTAATGATGAGGTCGTCAGTTCGATTCTGGCTGTGGGCATCCCAGTATTTTTGCGGTTCATTTCGCTTTTTTTTTTTTCATTTCTCCGTAACATTGTTCCCCCATTTCTTTCTTTTCGCAAATCCCAATTCCCAAAAAACATCAGGCCACATTTACCAATCACCCAATTTAGCGCTTGTCGCGCGCACAGTTGCCCCGAATGTGCGGGTCCCTCCCCTGATTGATAAGTGTGGCTTGCCAAGAAACCACTAGTCTGGCCAGGATGGGCTCGTGCGGGGAGCTCTGACAGTTGCTTTGGGCAGTCTCTGAAGCACGGTGCAAGAAGCCCACAGAAAGCTAAACCCGTTGTGGACACCCACTCATTTTCCATGGACCTCGAGCCGGAACCCAACCACAACTCCACAGTGGCTCCTGTTTGCTGGAGCTTTTGGCTGGGTTTTGGGGCTGGACCTTTCTTGGATTTGGTGCCATTTCGCTTTGCAAAAGAGTCAAATAAGAAATCAGATGAGTGGCGTATTCGACATCACACACACACAAGAGCGGCGCTAAAAGCTGCAGGCTCAACGTCTTGCCTTCGCTTTCTTTCGTCAGGCTCCCCTCTCTCATACGATCCGCCAGCAGCAGCAACCTTCTTGAAGGAGTGGAAGGATATTCCAACGGCTTCACCATTCAACACCCCTCAGAAACACACACTCAACAAGAAAGAGGGAAATGTCGTCACCAACTGCCAATAGCCCATTGAGAAGCGGGATGGAGACCCCGCCTACGCCTCATCCCATTTCGGACGAGGTCCTACGCGCCGTATATGCGTCCGACCAGGAGATGTACCCCGCGGGCCTGTCGTACGACCGACTCTGCAGCTGGGTGGCGGCCTGTCCCGAAATGTCGATTTGCTGGTCCTCGCCCAAGACGGGGGTCCTCGGGGTGGTCATTGTTTTGCCTATGCTGAGGGAGTATTGGGAGGATTTGTTGGTTGGGAAGCTCAAGGAGCCCGGAGTTGATGCAGAGCTGATGTTTCCTCACGACAACAAAAAGAAGCAGTTGGAAAGTCAGAGTGTGGTGGCAGGGGCCAGACAGATTGGGAACGGCAGGGTATCAAATGGGAGGTCAGGAGGTATGCAGGAGGAGAAGGAGGAACGGCAAGAGGTCGGGCTGCATGTTTACCACATTGAGCGGCTAGCTGTGGAGCCACCCACGGCGAAGCAGAAGAGGTTTTCAGAGATTGCGATTGAGGAGGTTACGAGACGCGCCGCGGAGAAGAAGGGGTGGAAGGTTGTTGGGTTATCTGGTATGTTCCTTCTTACCTGTGTTTATCAACTGGATTACATACTAACGTAACAACCATCAAAGCCCTCACAGCTACAGACGGAGGTAAAAGGACATTTCAACGTCTTGGCTTCAAGAATACAGGCTACAGAGAGCTATTTGTCACCAAGGCAATACGTCGGCCTTCCTATGCCGCCATCGGGATCGGCAACAACCCCAGCATTCCCGAGGAGGCTGCCGATGAACCTGAAGAGCTCGACATGCTCTACATCTATCCCGAAGATGGAGCCGGGGGGAAGAGCGTCAGCGAAATCATTGGATATGGCCGGACGGTGGTGTCCATGTCTGAGATGACTGTCAAACGCATCAGTCAGGAGGAGCAGCAGGAGGACCAGTCGAATCCGTTAATGTCAAGTAATGGGAATGGCTGTGCATTTTCATTGTCAAGCTCAATCTGAACAGCTTGGTAGTGGATAGCAGTGCACGGCCATGGAGAAATAAACGAAGGAACATCTCAACTCACTTTCCTGCCCCGCTGCATCATGAAACCCATGTTGGCGATGTTGATGATCCGGGAAGATCCGTCGAGAGTGCGGGGACAGGAGACGATCTGTCTTAGTTCTCAGCCGCCGGTATCACTGCGTATCCGGGCCGTTCTGCGCGCTACCCTGCGATCTGTTGTCTCGTTGGCCCTAAAGGGTAAAAAACGCGGGGGTGCAGAGACATTGTTGACTGACTATCCACCACATCCTTACCAGATTCGGACAACATGAAGCACTGCAGCGCGGGGAACTTGACGAAGAGAGCCGGTGTGATTCACAATGACCACTTGTAATTGAGGCACTTCATCAAAACACTATGCGGCAGACGCGGTGAGTTGATGTCACAATGTATCAGCTCAGACGTCTGAATCCCGTCCCTAAGGTGCGGTGGAAACAACAAAGAGTCTAGTTTGATGTTGCGATCGGTGGTCACGATGTTGTGATCGAGAGACAAGATCAGCAATACTGTTTCTCCGTCACACGAGTTCAGGTTTCCAATTGGCCTCTGTGTAAGTCAGGGCTGTCATAGGGTGCGGTTGAGTAGTGTTCTATCCGACAAGAGTCGGGAGAGCCATGAGTGAGAAAAAGTCGTCGGGTACGAGGATGGGTGACATGATTTCAAGTATAAAGACCCCTTCATTTGAACCAACATCATCACCATCATCTTCTTCCAACAAACAACCCAACACACAAACAAATATCACCTCTCAACAACTCCCAAGCCAACAGACCAACCTTCAAAATGAAGTTCACCACCACCGCTCTCCTCACCACCCTCCTCACCACCGCCACCGCCCTCCCCTGGTCCTTCAAGAGCGCCACCACCGGAAAGCACTCTGATGAGATCACGTACGCCTGTCCCCTTCACCCCTACCCGTACACAGCAATCAAACTAACTCACACCTACCCTTCAGCCTCCACCTAACCCTCGACAAACCCACCACCCACCACCGCCCCACCAGCTCCGAGTCCGAGATGAAAATGATCATGGAGCTCTCCAACATCTGCCTCCGCGTCTGCTGGCCCGAGAGCCCCACCTGCCCAGATGGTTGGGTAAGTACACATAACACACACACACACACACACACACACACACACACACACACACCTCTGCTCGCCGCGCATCCAGAAATTAATCATGTCTGCCTTACAGGAAGCCAAGCAATTCGGCCACTGCTGGACCTGCTGCCGCAAGGACGAGGAGGATCTCTGAACATCCTCGGCTACCTACGTCATAGCCTAGCAGGCTTACTCGTGATAGTGCTCAAGTTCCTGTGGGTTATGACTTGACCGACTATCTAGTCTCACGCGGTGGTGGCATGGAGGGAGGGAGATTGACCAACTGCAATGACGCTCATTTAAGGGAAAGAGGCGCCTCGGTGAGAACTGTGAGGAGGATTTGTGAGAAGGGTTTAATGACTGAGAATGAAGCTAGCGAATACCGGTGATAAGAAAATTGAGACTTTTGTTTCTACCATTCTTTCGAGCAGTGATAGTTTTGATGTTTGAGTGCTGATTTTTTTCATGTTTCAAGTTCTAGTGTGAGTGTGGTACTTGTGAGTTATGAGGGTAGACTGCATGAGGGGGGTTAAAATCAAAGCAACCTCATGGGAGTATGGTTCCATGCCGGTGAGGTACAAAAAAAGGCAATCAAAAGTGAAGAGGAAAGGGGAAAGTCGGGTATGGAGGACGATGTTGTAAATAAAGGCAAAAAGATGCCCAATAACAGGATTGAACTGTTGACCTTCGCATTACCATATGCTGGTTTCCCCAGTATTAGTACGACGCTCTAACCAGCTGAGCTAATCGGGCTGATGTGGAGATTGTTGTGTTGTAAGACAGACTGAGCGCTTACGATAGGCACCCTATCCCTTCCCCTGATTTTACTTCATAACCAAGGCAAATAAACAGGGGTGCTCTTTAAGAGCATATTCATTGCATATATGACGTGAAGCTCAGCTTGGAATGCGTTGATAAAAGGTACAGGATAACACCACCGAAGTGTTCTAGTCTACTTAGCTGGAGAAGGGGGTCGGGCTATCTCCAGGCGGCATCTGCTTTCTAATATCTTTTGAGACCTAGATCCTCACTAAGTCTACACAACAGTCTTCCTCCTCACCATCAACAAACATATCACCCCAGCCTCGCAGCAGTCAGTAACAACTCCATGAATGCAGTACTGCTTTCAATCAGATTCAGCTTGTGCTTCTCCTCCGTCGGGTAGAATAAGCACTCGGCCTCCTCATTCCACTCGCCAAACTCCACGCCCAGTCCATACACCTTCTTCTTTTTCGGGTCTAGTGCAGCTCTAAAAAGACCCTGATCTGCAGAGCATCCGCTGCTGGGATACAGATGAGGGGCCTGAATAGCCCTGTAAAACCGTCCTGTTGAGTCAGTCATTCCTCCAGCCACTCTTGCAGCTGCTAATGTCAACGCGTCCCAGTCTTTTTGCTCCAAAAACTCCTTGTACTCGAACCCCGGCTTGTCCGGAACGACACCTCTCTTGCCATCGAAGCTCTTGTTCTGCCAACTTTGAGAACGATCCAATGCCTGATTTGAATCATGGCACCACCCGTATAATACCAATGTCGCGGGCGAATGAAGATCCAAGAACCATCCGAGATCAGGAAACTGGTCCAGCGTCCAGTCAACATTCTTCGTCTCCGGCTCAGACAGCGGTCCAGTGCCGTGGTAGATCTCAGTGTTTGGATCGTCCGAGGAGGGATCAATACCGGGTGCAAATGCCTCGGTGAAGTTCCATACCGGCGCAAAGTTCCGGTTCAAGTCTACACCAACCGAGCCTGGCTCGCCCTGAATAGCTCTGGCCGGGTTCCGGTTCTTCCTCCAGCAGGAGTCCGTCGCTTGATCAAATGCCAGCCCATCCGGGTTGACAACAGGAATGACAACGACACCCTGTGATAATGCCAGCTGCACCTGAGCAGCAGAGTACGACATGCCTCCATACACCAACCCCTTCTTCTCCGTGGCGGCATGGACGAGATCAGAGATGAAGTAGATCAAGTGATCTGGTCCACCTCTCTCACGAGAGTGAATGCCGCTTTCAAGGAGGACTTTGTAACCTCTGTTGCCCTTCTTCCCGCTTCCGCCGATCTTGGCGCCGTACATTGTTCTGTTCTCGTATGTCTTGTGAGGCATCTCAAAGTACTCTACTTTGTCCTTGCCAAACTGTTTGGCAAGGCCAAGTACAGCAGACTTGATCTCGCCAATGTTGAGAATGCTGCCGAATGTGGAATTGGGGTTGTTGCCGATGCCACGGGGGGCAATCGTACCGTTTTGGAAGCGGTCGCCGACAGCGACGGGGACAGTGCCAAGGTTGGCTTGACGGCGGTTGATAACTCCTCTGGCACTGTGAGCTTTAAGGTCGATGATGTGACCGCCGTGTCGCTCCTTCTCGGTGAGGCAGGCTTGGGTTGCCGCTAGTTGGGCGAAAAAAGCGAGGAAGGTGGAAGTTTTCATCTTGGACGGGAATGATAAGGAAGGGTGCGGTGGAGGGGTGCAGGGGAGAACGATGCTGACGGTTGCGCGGCAGGCTTTGTACTTTATCGCTACGTACGGGAACTAGTATTGAGTTAAGGTCGGTGTTCACCGGGGTTTCTAATGCGGCTCCCAGCTCGGAATGCTTGTTTGAAGAATGAGACAGACAAGTTGCCTTGCCAGCTGGCCTGCCGTCAACAGTGTTGCATTCGGTCCTGCATGCATGCGCGATTCGTCCGTCACCCAGCAAGAAGGTAGTATCGCATCTCGGGTCGCTCTGACTCTCACTTGGTATGCCTGTATGACCTTTTCCCACCAAGTATCTGATCTGGGAAAGATGCCTATCTGTATCATCTGGCAACTTCCTTAAAATCCGGCCGGGAATCCAGGCGAAGACTAATATTGTGGTGGTTCCCGAAAAGCTCTCCACCAGGATTTGAATCCGGAAGGTCGTTTACGAACTCCCTAGAACGCAGAAGACTCACAAACTTTGTCATCACAACGACGGTGGTATTCATAATTACACGCAAGTAAGCGTAGCATTTAACCTTCAGCCCAAGCTCGCCCTGCTCTAACCCGGAGACAAGGTGACATGCAGTACAGGTCAGGGTGGAACTTTAACATCGTACTCGCTATCATATCATTATCTGCTGCATATATTGGAAGGTCCGCGCCGCTCGTCAACCTCTACGCCATCAATGATTACCGCTCACGTCGTTTCATTGCTGACATCACGAGGTAAAAACGAGTGAATCTAGATTCATTGTTGATGAAAGAGGGATGTTGGCTAAACATGTGATGTGGTATCCTGCCTGAAGCCTCGGCTCCCTCGAACTTCATTCAGGTAGGGAAAACTTCCATATCGAGGCACAATTTAAGATTGCATTCGACGGGTCAATGGGTACAAACATCCGCTGTCCGGTTGGAAGGAAGAGGAGTTCTGAGAAAAGAGTGGACCACAGAGAATAGTGCGCGTGAAGCCATGATATTTCCAATGATATTCCCAGCAAGGCAGATCAGCTGCAGTCTGCAAGGGCGAGGCAGATTCACATCACCTACCCAACACATCTTGCATGGTGACATGTCGGCGTCCCCAACCGGGTGACTCACGGCATGATGTGCCACAATGTTTGTGGAGCGAAGCTTGGTCATCACCCCCCTATTCAGCCCTACACCACGAACGAGGCTAACCCTAACCCACAAGACATTTCGGCAGTTAGGTATGTACCTAAGCAGCTGAACAAGGTAGGTAGCTGGAATGTTTTCAAGAAGACTGAAGCTTTCGTTGGTTAGAGAGGATTGAACAACACACTTGACATCTGCCGACTAACTTCCGACCTTATGACATGTGTTAAAATCATCGCATCCAGCACTTTCGGCGAACAGAAGCGTGTGATGTACAGTGGACGCCTTGCACAGCCCGGTTATCACAGATGGCCCAATTGAAATCTCCATAATTGTGCCAAGACTGCATGCTGGTGGTTTTGATGGCAGCAGCAGAATGGCGGAGCAGTTCAGTGGAAAATGGAAAGTGTGACCGGACGAGGTGCCACAACATGGCTCTTGCATATCCATTTTAACCCTCAATGGGCCGCAATCCTAAGGAGCCGACTTCCATCCTCAAAATATCTTTCTCCTCCATATCCACCCTCCGAATCCCTGTGTTCGCGATAACTCTTTGTATTGTGATTCTACTTTGCTGCTTCCGAGCATCAATTTTAACTATGCCGCCTGGTAGAGCTTTGTTAGTTGGCGGTCGAGCTGGCGGTGAAGCTGGCAGTGAAGCTAAGCGTGAAGTTGATAGTGGAGCTGCTGGCCTGCTTGGTGCGGCTCGCACAACAGAGCATGAGGACATTGAGGTAAAGAAGCTTTCCACGTATACAGCTTCTATAAATCCCGTCCGCAACAAATCAATTTTAACCATGCCGCCTGGTGGAGCTTCGTTAGTTGGTGGTCGAGCTGGCGGTGAAGCTGGCAGTGAAGCTAATCGTGAAGTTGATGGTCGAGCTAATGGCCTACCTGGTGCGGCTCACACCACTGAACATGAAGACATTGAGGTAAAGAAGCTTCTCACGTATACAACTTCTATAAGTCCCATCCGCAACAAATCGTTAGGAGCTAATCAAGGGTGATAGGGGGGGTACCAGCAGTCAGGATCATACGACCCCACTGCCGCCTGCTGCGATGATGCCTCGATGGGGTATACTCACCCGACGCAGTCGTATTCTGAGGGTATGTTTTCGTCGTCGCAGGCTTGGGATTCAGCTGCCTGGAACTTGAACGATACCTACGATCTTGATTGGGGAACCGCTCCACAAACAGTCCAAAAATCAGGGATAGCATATCCGGACCTTCTCGGTTCTGACAACCTGGAAAAGCAACCGTTGGAGACACAGGATACGGTATGTCAATTTGGCTGTTTTCTGTGATGTTCTGGACCAAACGATTATGCTCAGGCCGCCTGGCTTCATGTTGAAGTGATGGCACTGCGCTAATGCTTGGCAGCAACCCTCGCCAGAGCACAGTCGACATGAACCTCCTGTCGCGAATTACCTTGGATTTCCTCAGTTCTTTGGCAACATCATGATCGAAAATACTGGAGCTTCCTGCTGGCCTACAGATGATCTAGTCCCGATGTCTCGAGAGACATTGGAAGCGAAGTTGAAGCCTCTCCTAGCAGCCTATGCGTCGCACCAATTAGGCCATCCCCTAAACGTCGTGGCAGGTTTGGTGCGGCCCTACTCAGCGCAGATTAGTAGTCACTTTTGGCTCAACGTTTACTCTAAGCGACCAAATGAAGAAAGACCGTCTATGCTCACACCTGGACTGTCTTCACTCTTCGAACACTTGACGGCGACAGGGTCTTCTAGGAATCATGAGCGTTCCCGTCGCAGTGGCGCTGACAACCGTAGTTCGCTTGAACTATTGCGTGACGTCTGGAATGGAGAACAGATAAGACGGCTGATTGTCAATCACAGATCATTTGGCAGCTTAGTGACAAAGATTCGAGGGGAGTTGTACTCGGAAGAGCGCGAGATGCAGAAGATTAGGTCCAAAGTGTCAGTCTCGCTCGGCAAGGGAAGCCCTGGTTCTCGGGGGGAATTGTTCCAGGCAACATTCGAGTCGGACTGGAAACCGTTGGAGTTTCTCCGAAGTCAATTTAGCAATCCCATGCCACGAATTGGATCGTTGGTGACGGTAACAGGCTCCGCATTATATGCATACGCGACATCATGCGATAAATATATGGAAAAGACATGGCCATACACGGGAAATGACTTCCTATTCGCACTACAGCGTTTTTTAGAGGAGGAAAA